AAAAAAAACAAAAAAAAAACAATAATAGTACTATAAGACCGGAAGAACGATAATGATGTAAAAGAGTAGAAAGAAAAAATAAAAAATTAACTTGTTTTCAACACTCACTTGTACACCTTGAAATAATATATCAACCAAAAGAATTTTAGTCAAATATCTTTCGTAAAAAGAAGCAAAAGTTTTTAAATCAACGACACCATACCTGCTCATCGATTTGTTTCGACCTTGCCTTGGCATTCTGGTCAATACTGTTCACACATCCCATCTCGGAATATTATTCCCCAAAAACCAATTGCTAGGGCTTTTCAAGCTGACTTTATTTCACAAATTTCTTATGGTCCTAAGATTATATTTTAAAAAAGGATTTCATAACACAGCAAATGAGAAAAACCAAAGCGTTTTTACCATACACTGAGATACGGTACCTGAAAATGCAAATAAATCAATAGTGGAGGAAAAGATCTCATAACAAACAGCAATTTTACGCTCAATATTAACACGGCTGGAAAGCATAAACCTAAAAAAAAAGTATATTAAAACAATACGAACAAAAAAATTAAAGTCTATGCTGACTACAGAAAAATAATTTTTGACCTGAGAAAAAAAGTAAAAAAAAGCAACAGGAAACGAAAAGCACTAAGGAGTCCTTAACTATATTAAAAAACCGCCGATGCACTTTTGCTGAGGTGCAATCAGATTGAATCGAAAAATCAAGCCTCAAACACTTAAAATCATTCTCTATGCAAAATGTAAAAAATATCCTAAATAGCCTGAACAAGTATCGATTTCATTCATTATCTAAATAACAGAAAAAAATAAAAATAAAAATAAAAATAAAAAATAAAAATAAAACAAATAAAGGTAAAGTATATTTCATTAAAACGACTATCACTACTTTGAAAACCAAGCATACCCTATTTTTGAAGACGTATACGTCTGCAAATTTCTCATGCAACATCACAGATGAAAAATATGCACTGGTGATTGAAAATGAGTGACAATAACAGTAAATAAAATAAAAAGTTAATTTTATCGTAAATAAGAAACTCTTCTGGCACAAAAAAGTTGATTATTTAAAGAAAAAACTGTAGTTATAGTCAGATAGAACATCACCAATGATTTTACGCCAATACTCTTCAAAAAAGAACTGGCAAGAAACCCTCAGAGAGCCAAAACAACGGGTTCGCAAAAGAGTAATGGCGTTGAAAAACAAAACAAAAAAAAAGTGTAAGCCTATTTGAACACCTAATTCATCACTTTCAGACAATATACCCTAAGAATAAGTAATTTTTCATTTTCTTCCTCCTTCTTTCACACCCTTTATAAACCAAAAAATAAAAGACATATATGTAACAACAGCAACAAATTTTTAATTAAACCAAAATCAACACTTCCCGTCTGCCAAGAAAAAAAAAAACAATAAAAACTAATGTAAGAATCATGTGATTTGAGAAGGCTACGCAACTTGAATAGCATTTACACTCTCCTACTCCTCTCATCTCCTAAATGTCCGATATGCACTTCGGAACTTCTCATTTCCAACAACGATAAAGCGTCTTGCCACAAGTGCAAAGATTTATAGATGCTCCATCAAAGGCATAGATAAACTTCAAAAACATTTTACATCACCGCGTCAAAAAAAGAATAGAAACCAGCGATACCTCGCACCAAATGTACTGAATTCCATTACATAACAAAATTTACTAAACGTTTAGTTGAATATCGTTACACATCTATGAGAGAATCAACCGAACAATAAATAGCACAGAGTTCAACAAATGATTGATTAAAGTGTAGCATAAAGATGAATTAAGCATTAATTTGACTGTTCACAACAAGATTCACCTATTCGGGGTGAAAATCATTGCCTCTCAACATGTACATATTACAAACAGAAAGTCCAAGCACATGCAATTGTATCAGCTGGCTATCAGAGACCATAAAACAAGATGAACTGGAGCCTTTGGTCATCCTGACACTGACGTGGAGCCTGTAGGACTCAGTCAGTTTTGCAGCCAGTGTAAATAGCTCAACCATCAAAAACTTTGCAACACCAACAACCACCATCACCACCCACAATGGACAAACAACCAAATCCGTTCAGAAAATACACTTCGAAGCCTACTCTCTCTCACCCTCTCTCTTCATTTCATCGCACCATGGATAAAAACTAGAATAAAAGAATTTATCGATCTTAAAGACAACGTCCATTCAATTAAACCATATAATCGCATAGGGAATTCAAAAAGCACACGCTGTCCTAAATAAATACCAGCAAAACACTGAGACTACAACTATAACTCAAAATAAAGATGCTTTCTTAAAAAACATCCTTTCTATTATCACACAAATACAAACATCAAAAAAACTCCTTGAACTTTAATCGCAGCGTCGAAATTTTGCAATACCAAAAAAATTTAAATGTTTATTTGTATTACATTAATTTCCCTCAACCCTACACTTGACTGTAACTAAACAGCTCCAGAAAATCTATTACTCACAAAATATTCTCACATTATTTAAATTCGGTAATTTACAGCACCCAGGATATAGTCCTCATTCTTAGCTTCCTTTTTGTTTCCCTTTGAACATTAGAAAAATATTCCTTCTTTTTCGCTTCCCCTCTCCCAATTACTCCCAAATTTTCATATCCAATATTGAATCAATATGCCCTTCTCAACTTTGATATTGATATACAACCATCTCTGGCATCAAAATATTTTTGTTAAATAGATAACAACGTGTTCAATCAAATGCTTACCGAAACTGCAACACGGTTATTTAAATGAAATTTACGATATCAAAAATCGCACAGACGTCAGCTACACAGATTTTAACCAGCAGGTCAACAAATATAAAATTATCAGTAATTGAAATACGTCGTCTACACACTGATAGCT